GGTAGGGCTCATGGCCACCTCGGTGAGGACTTATGCCAAGATGCGTCTCCCAGGACTGCTGCCGCCAGTGCGCCTGTCCCCATGGCAGGCCACTTCTGGCCCATGCCTCTGCAGGAGGTCCTCAGACACTCACAGGTTGATCTGGCTCAGTCTCCTGTTGTGTTACTGTTCCTTTCCCCGGGTCCTAGTGCACACAAGGTTTTGTTTGTGCCCTCTAAGAGTGGAGTCTCTATTTCCCCTAGTCCTGTGGAAGTCCTGTAATCAAATCCCACTCGTCTTCAAAGTCAGATTTCCTGAGGATTCCCAGTCTGTTTGCCAGATATCCCAGGCTGGGAAGCCTGATAGGAGGCACAGAACCTTCACAACAGTGGGAGAACTTCCTTGGTATTATTGTTCTTGAGATTGTTGATCGCTCACTTGGCAAATATAGGGTTTGATTTTATTGTGTTTGCATTCCTCCTACCATCTGGTTGTGGCTTCTTCTTTGCTTTTGGGTATGGAATATCATTTTTTGTGTGTGGGTTCCGGCATTCTCCTGTCAATGGTTGTTAAACAGTTATTTTGGTGCTCTTGTAGGAGAAGATGAGCACATGTCCTTCTATTCCATCGTCTTGAACCAATCTCCCTCCCTAGTTTCTGAAATTGTGCTTTGCCTAAAGCTAGTCTAGGCAGCTGAAGTAATTCAGTTTTTAGGTACCTTGGATTGGGATGAGGAATCACAGTGGATAACAGAGAGTAGGAGCTAACCATCTTCTTTTTAATTTTTAGTTCAGTCTCTAATTGCTAACCTTCCTATCCTTCTGTTTCTCTGTTTTGGTATTCTGCCTTTGGATCTGAGCTCTAGGATTGTATAATCTTGCTCCTTAACGAATTTTTAAAATACCAGTAGCCCATAGGAACTCTCTAAGGCTTTTTTAGTCTGTGAGACCTAGGCTTGAATGCAGTGAGCAGCTGTTCAAAGGATCAGACAGATGGAGGATTGGGAGGGAGTAGCTGATGGAGGCTCTTGTTAGGAAGTAAAATAACCTCTCAGTACTTCAGTGACTTTATCTTTAAACATTTATTCTATGCCTTAACTTATTCATTCATTTGTTCATTTATTTATTCATAGACATCATTCAAGTTGGGAGAATAAGTGCTTAAATAATTTATTCATGCAGTGTAATAAATCTTCACCTCTTGATCTACACTGTCACCATCGTCTCTGAGAGAGAGGTTCCACTCTGTTAACAGTTTTCTGGTTTCTACTCCTCTAGTTTCTGATTAAGCATGTCTGAAAGTGAAAATGTTAGTCAGTCGTGTCTGACTCCTTGTGACTTCATGGACTGCAGCCCACTAGCATCCCCTGTCCATGGAATTCTCCAAGTAAGGGTACTGGAGTGGGTTGCCATTTCCTTTTCTAGGGGATCTTTCTGATTCAGGGATTGAATCCAGTGTTCTCACATTGCCCTGGGGCTCAAGAATTGATATTTCTAAGGAGTTCCCAGATACTGCTGATGCAACTGGTTCAGGGATCATGTTTGAAGTCCATTAAAAACCATACAATAATGTACTGTGATCGAATAAAATCTGAGCTCTTCCTGTGATCTGGGCCTCTGCTTACCTCTCTGATTTCGGAGTACTCTGCTTCCCACGTTTCCATCTACTCCAGCCATTTCCAGCCTGCTGTTTGTTTCTCTACTATGCCAAGTTTGCTTAGCCTCAAGGCTTTTGCACATACAATTTCATATTCCTGGAATGCTCTATCCTCAAATGTTTGCATGATTATTCTTTATACAGGTAAGTCTGTGTTTGAATCTTATATCCTGAGGAAGATATGACAATCAATCTGAAGTAGTCCTCAATCCCCTACCTCAATCTCTACCCCAAGGATTTTCTACTACATTATTCTGTATTATCTCTTTTTATAGTGCTTATCATTGACTTACATAATTATTTCTTTATTCTGTTATTTATCTTGTTTATTTCTATTACATGTAATTGTATCTTTGTAAATTCTTGGTATGTAGGAAGAACTAACAGTTTTTGTTGGGGGCTGGGAGTGGAGAAGTGTGAATAAATTAATATGTTGTACCTTAATGGTATGTACACAGAGGTATGTATATAGTGGATTGTTGTTTTTCAGTCACTCATTATGTCTGACTCTTTATGACCCCAGGGACTGCAGCACACCAGACTTCCCTGTCCTCCACTATCTCCCGGAGTTTGCTCAAACTCATGTCCATTGAGTTGATGATGCTATCCAACCATCTCATCCTCTCTTGCCCCCTTTTCCTACCCTCAATCTTTCTCAGAATCAGGGTCTTTTCTAATGAGTCAACTCTTCTCTTCCCTTGAATAAAGGTTAAGCTACAATGATTTCTGTAGAATATTAGAAGTGAAAGTAAGGATGAGTTAACTCTGATTATTTTGTTTAACAAACTTCATTGATATTACTTAATATCATATCAATACCATAAGTTTGTCACGGTCAGATTTTGTGGCTGTAAATTATTTTATCTAAAAAGTCATCTAGCTTCTTTTTGATGTATTTACATAGACAGTGTATCTTACTGAATAAAAACAATAAGTTAAATAAAAGATAATATTTATTGATTGCTGTCTGTTTTTGGAGTAACATACGGGGTACTTTATTGGCTTCCCAGGTGGCTCAGTGGTAACAAATCCACCTGCCAATGCAGGAGGCACAGGTTCAATCCCCGGGTTGGGAAGATCCCTGGAGGAGGAAATGGCAACCCACTCCAGTATTCTTGCCTGGATAATCCCATGGACGAAGGAACCTGGTGGGCTACAGTCCATAGGATCACAAAGAGTTGGACATGACTAAGCACACACAAATGGGGTATTTTGTATTTTATTTAATACTAACAATCTAATTCATAGGATCATTGTATCAGGTTCATATATATATATTTTTCCAGATGAGGAAATTGAGATTGTGAGAATAAATATTTTGTTTAAAGTCACTCATTAAAATGGTGGAATTTGATTTAAAAATCAACCTGTTTTTGTATGTACTCAATGACTATGCTCCCCATTCTACCTTTTACTGAGTAATACCTGCATTCTAGAAACTGTAGTAAGCATTTTGCTTAACTGGTTTTTTGGATGAGGTGTACAAACATTAAGCCCTTTTATCTTTTTCTCTCCAGTCATTTCAAACATGCTAGAATAAGCCCTCTTTGATACTAGATTGGGAGAAGATTGCTCTGTTTTCCAAGTAATTTCGGGGAGTATAAAGTCCACTCCAGACCAAATCAAATCTTTAGTCTCATATCCTATCTAATTCTCTGTCCCTCTCTGCCTGGGTCAGGCCTTGGCCTGAGAAACTTGGAATCCAATGTAGAGGTCATGTCATGTATTTTTGAATCCTCTGCTTTAGGCCAATCCTTTCTGATTCCTTTTCTCTTCTGATGTGTTGTATCGTACTTAGTCACTCAGTCATGCCCGACTCTTTGTGTTTCTATGGACTGTAGCCTGCCAGGTTCCTTTGTCCATGGGATTTTCCAGGCAAGAATACTGGAGTGGGTTGTCAGATCCCCTCCAGGGGATCTTCCATATCCAGGGATCAAACATGTGTCTCCTGTATTCTTTACCACTGAGCCACCTGGAGAGGCATTAATAAAATGGAAAATAGTAGAATCTTTGTTTATTTCACTGGTGGTTGTAATAATCCTCTCTTGGCTGTGATGCCGTCAGCGAGATACGTATACAGACTCTGCCTTTACTGCTTCAGATTCCCTGGCTCTTGGCTCTGTGGATTTCATTCCACGGTCTTGCTAGTGGTATCCCTGCCCCTAGCTGCAGCTTCTAGATTGGGAAAGCAATAAGGATGGGACACCCCCAGCAAACCTCTCTTTAGTGGTATATCCCTAACCCATGAGAAACTCATGTGTTTTTACCTTATCAAATGGTAGGACTGTAGGCCAATCCCAGTTTGGCTCTATTTTCCCTGCATAAGTCTCTTTGGAATCTCCTTCTTCTATTCAGATATAACAGGATGTTCAGAAATTCCACCACCTCAGCAGATATTTGATGAGGGATGAGATACTTAACACTCAGTCTCTATCAGAGTGGATCCCTCTTTCACCAACTGGGTTTCGGCAGGGAACATTCTCCTTCTCTCTTGTACTTGTGTTTGTATGGGGGTGTGATGGGGAGAACAGCTGTACTCTCCTAATTATTATAACTCACTCTTCTGATTATTTTCTTTCAAACTGTTCTATTCCTTTGCTTTTGTATGCTGGTGGTGAGGTGATAGTGACATTTAGTCACTTCTTAATTTCTGAAGGCGATGTCTGGTCTTGGCTACTCTTGGAACATTAGGGCATTTGACCCTGACCACTATTGTCTCCAGCTTTGGTGCCTTAGCTTTAATTCAACGGAAATTGGAAAAGCTTCAGTCAATGCAGGCATTTTGTCTTTCAGTCCTCATAAGATTCTAGCAGTTACGTCCCATTTTATAAGGAGGAAAGTTAGACTAACAGAGATTAGATAAGTTGCCCAAAGTCTCACAGATAAAGGTAAGACTGTGATTCAAATTCTGCCAGATACCAAACACTTTGTTTGCTTGTTATCCATGCACCATATAATTCTATCTTCTTGACTGTGATAGAAGTTAAGATGTGTTTACTTTCAACACAGTTATGCCAATGCAAATTATCTTTTTCCAGGAAAATTCATTGTAGAAACAAATTGCCAGAGGCTGTGGAGAACTCAATTAAAGAAACATTAGCTATACAATTTGATATATTTTCTGGTTCTCACTATTTTTTTTACATGTTGGTTTCTTATTAATAATTTCTTCCAGTTCCAGGTCCACATTCCTTATGATGATATTAATGGTGAATTATGCCAGAAATTATGTTTTAAAGCTTCAGTGATTTCCAAATATCATCAAGCCAAGAGTATAAACTACATATGTTTGTGTGTATGTATAGGAATGCATTTGCAGAGGCTTTAAAAATTTTCTCCATATGCTAATTTTGTTTTCTTCTTAGTTATAGGGATACAGAAAAGAATTTCTACAATATCTCTAACAGATGCTCCTATGCAGACCATTCCAACAAAGAGGACATTGAAGAGGTCTCAGGAATTCTTCAGTGTACTGCTAATGTTCTCGGTATAGTAACTATATATTTATAAGATTGAGAGAGAATGAGTGAGGGGAGAAGAGGAAAGGAAAAGAGTGTTTCAGTTTCACTAAAGGGAGATTTGAAGACTGTAGTGAACTGAGACCAGGACCTTGTCTTTAAGTGATTTAATTTCAATACTTCTGATGATGTTTTAATGAAAATTACCTGCATGCCATTTACTTGGAGATTGGAAAACATTATTTTAAAAACACATTCCAGGTAAACTTTTCTAGATACTCATACGTTAGTATTATTAGCCTCCTGTAATCCATATTTCTCTGGCTCTAGCTCAGTTGAAACTGGAGATCTTCCTCTTTTCTCAAAGCCTTTGCTTTATTATTATTATTATTTCATTATTTCTGGAAAGCCTGCTTGGTGCTGGAGGGTGGATCACATGTACTCGTAGTAGGCTCTGCAACTCCAAGGCAGTGAAGCAGGCCATCCATGGAAGTCTCTGTGTCCTACTTGTTGAGGAGTGTCTATCTTGAAAATACTAATATTTATGACAGAGGCCTGTTTTTAGACGCTCCCACCATGGTAACGATTACTCATACTCCACTGATTCATGCGGCCATAAGGTACCATAAGTGAGATGTACTATCTTGTGATCTGCAGTTCTTGGTCTGTGGGAGATACATATTATATGCAAAGTAGATAACATAGCAGGAGTACCTTTTGTTCTAATATCTTACAGAGTATTTTTTGGGGGAAATATACCTCTTTCGATGTTTTTTTGCATCTTCTTTCTGCCTTATGACTCAGACAGAAATCCTTGGAGTTGTGGGGAGTGGTAGTGGGAGACAGCAAATCTTAGTGACTGACTCCATACCAAACTCAGAATCACCTCTCTTTCAGAATCAGATTTTGGAGACTAGGGAAAATTTGCTTCCCTTTCTTTCCCTTTAGGGTAAATGCTTTCCCTGGAGACATCTGAGTCCTTCCTACAAACAGATTTCAGGTGACCTCAGCTCATGAGTTTACCAGAGTTTTCTAAACACGTGTGACTTCCAGAGGCATACCTAGCTTTAACAGGCAAACAGGGACTACAGCTACACGTTGACTACATTTTCTTCCTGGGTAACTTTCTTAAACATAAAATGTTATCATTAGAATATGAAACTTTTGTGAGGGGAGCATATAGTTCTAAGTGGCTTGTCCAAGACAGTATTGGGCAGTGGAAAGGAAGGCTAAAGATTTACTTACGTCAATCTTAGTGCAACTACATGGGTGAAATGCTACCCAGACAAACATTATTATTGGAGAAGATAAAGGTTGAGAGTGGGATGGGGTTGAGTATCACCCAAGAACTGTTTATAGTTTCCTGATTCTGTATTTCCCAGGACTCTCTCATAAACAATATCAATTACTTTTGATGCATTGTGATTTTTGAATGAATAGGGTGAGATGGTGTCCCACTATGAGGAATGCATCAGAATCTTGGCCAAGCGATGTTTATTATATTGAAAAAAATGCTCTTTACTTGCCAGTTCTAAATGATTGCCTGAACCTCACATCTCCTTTCCTTTCCTTATGCTCCCCACTTTGAGAATTGCTATTAGAGGGAGTAAAAGGTGTACAAGATGAAGAATATGTGAGAATTACTAAAGACTCTTACTAACTGTAACTTGCACATAAGTGTGCACAATTCCTACAAGAATTTTAGTTAGATAATTTGTTGCAATAACCACTAGTGTCACCGACACTGTTGGGGCTTCCTAGGTGGCACTAGTGGCAAAGAACCCGCCTGCCAGTGCAGGAGGCATAAGAGATGCAGGCTTGATCCCTGGCCTGGAAGATCCCCTGGAGGAGGGCATGGCAACCCTCTCCAGTACTCTTGCCTGGAGAATCCCATGGACAGAAGAGCCTGGCAGGCTACAGTCCATAGCGTTGCAAAAAGTCAGACATGACTGAAGCGATTGAGCGCAACACACACAGGTAATACTGGAGGCCTAGCTGTTTAGTTGCCTTTCAGAAGTTGCCATGAGGTCGATCAAGTTAGTGAGTGAAAACAGCATAGGCAGCATGCTGCCTGATGACATTAGGGAAGGGGTAGTTTTTAAATAAGTAAGTATAGTTTAGAAGGGGACTGTGTAACAGGGTTTAGATTTTCATTACCATTAGGTTCTTCTAAAACAGAGATATTAAGTCTGGTTTTTTTCCCCTGTAGGCAATGATGGATAGTTCTCAAAATATATAAAACACAATCTTGTAAATGACTGTGACCTGTTCACTAGATGCTGGCATGTGCCTAAGCTGTAGCTGTTCTCTTGAATAATGTCCTTTCATAATTCTTGAAATATAGACTAAAGACAAAGATAGCAGCTTCACCATGCAATATTACTCAGCCATTAAAAAGAATTCATTTGAATCAGTTCTAGTGAGATGGATGAAACTGGAGCCCATTATACAGAGTGAAGTAAGCCAGAAAGATAAAGACCATTACAGTATACTAACACATATATATGGAATTTAGAAAGATGGTAACGATAACCCTATATGCAAAACAGAAAAAGAGACTCAGATGTATAGAACAGACTTTTGGACTATGTGGGAGAAGAGGAGGGTGGGATGTTTCAAGAGAACAGCATCGAAATATGTATATTATCTAGGGTGAAACAGATCACCAGCCCAGGTTGGGTGCATGAGACAAGTGCTCGGGCCTGGTGCACTGGGAAGACCCAGAGGGATCGGGTGGGAGGGGGGATCGGGATGGGGAATACATGTAAAACCATGGCTGATTCTTGTCAATGTATGACAAAAACAACTACAATATTGTAAAGTAATTAGCCTCCAACTAATAAAAAAAAAAACAACAGCTTTACTAGTTGTATTCAATGAAAGCTTTATTTTTAATAAGTCACTGAAGTATGGATTAATCTTGGTTTACTTAGATCTTACCTTTTTAAAAAATTACATTTAAAGTCTCTTGTGTGATGATTATGCAAAGGTAAGAACTGATTAACTCATTGGAAAGAAAAACACCATAAAGAAAAGGAACGTGTTTTGAGTTGGAGAGTTTAGCATGGGGAAATAGAGTTTCAACTAAAGAAAAATGTTGTTTCCTGGTGCTCTTCTCTGTGGATGCCAGAGGACAGTTTAACAAATCTATGATTTATATTTACCAGCTTTGGGTAGTCTGCTTAGAGTATTGGTGGGTTGAAATTGGGGGATATATATTTCTCTCACTGTCTTAACGTATTAGAGACGTATGGGTCTTACTTTGTGGCTCAAATGGTAAAGAATCTGCTTGCTAATTCAGGAGACCCGGGTTTGATCCCTGGGTCAGGAAGATCCCCTGGAGAAAGATATGGCAACCCACTCCTGTATTCTTGCCTGGAGAATTCCATGGACAGAGGAGCCTGGCAGGCTACAGTCCATGGGGTTGCAAAGAGTCAGACAAGACTGAGCAACTAGTACACGCACACGGTAGAGACTAGAATTGTTTGTTCACTCATATGAATGTACTTATATTTCACATGTCATAAAAACTTTTAAAGTCATAGGTCAGAAAATATGATCAGAGTAGCAATTTTTTTGTCCTTTCAAAATGACCATCTCTGTTGACTTGGTATAAGCTCTAGTTTGACCATTTACTGGCTCTTCAGGTTAAAGTTTGAGATTAGTGACTGGCATGGTATAAAAAGAGAAACCTGAAGAGAAGGAGAAAGATTGTTGCAGAGGACCAGTTATGCCTCTGTCATTCATTTTTCCGTTGCTTCTTCCCTAGGACTCCCTGGAAATGGGCACATTCCAGAGTGGTTTATACCCTCAGTAATGGGAAAGAACTATTTGTAGACATCAACATTTTTGCCATTGATTTTCCTCTGTTGACTTAGAAGCTAGTTGTTGTTATATTGTCTCATTATTTATAAATTAGGGACAGACCCAGAGGAATGGGATGGGGAAGGATGTGGGAGGGGGGATCGGGATGGGGAACACATGTAAATCCATGGCTGATTCATGTCAGTATATGGCAAAAATCACTACAATATTGTAAAGTAATTAGCCTCCAACTAATAAAAATAAATGAAAAAAAAAGATTGTCAATACCAAAGTAATATAGGAAAAAGTAGGCTAAAGAAAAATAAGTACAGACTAGTCCTTATTTTGATACTCTGGTATTCACTGTGATATAGTAAAGTCATCTAAAGAGGCTTTTAAACTCTGTAAAAAGGATATTTAAAGAGAGATAGTTGTGAACAATGCCCTCCCTACTGGAGGCTTTTAGAAGTCTTAAATGTATTGCTTTATTTAGTAAATAATTTGCATGCCAAGGTGTATGATTTTATTTACTTTTTACTAAATTTATTTTTGATTGAAGGGTACTTGCTTTATATCGTTGTCTTGGTTTCTGCCATACATCAACGTGAATCAGCCATAGGCACACATGTTCCCTCCCTCTTCAGCCTCCCTCCCACCTCTCACCCCATGCCACCTCTCTAGGTTGTCAGAGACCCCAGTTTGAGTTCTTGAGTTGTAGAACAAATTCCCACTGGGTATCTATTTTACGTATGGTAGTGTGTGTTTCCATGCTACTCTCCCCATCTGTCCCACCCTCTCCTTTCCCCCAACCCTGTCCACAAGTCTGTTTTCTATGTCTGTGTCTCCACTGCTGCCCTGCAAATAGGTTCATCAGTACCATCTATCTAGATTTCATATATATGAATTAATATATGATGTTTGATTTTCTGACTTAGTTCACTCTGTGCAATAGGTTCTGAGTTCGTCCACCTCATTAGAATGGACTCAAATGCATTCCTTTTTATGGCTGAGTAATATTCCATTGTGTTTATATACTACAGCTTCTATATCCTTTCATCTGTCAGTGGACATCTAGGTTGCTTCCATGTTCTAGCTATTGTAAATAGTGCTGCAATGAATGTTGGGAAACATGTGTCTTTTTTGATTCTGCTTTTCTCAGGGTGTATGCACAGTAGTGGGATTGCTGGGTCATATGATAGATTTTTTTTTTTATATGATAGCTTTA